TGTTGTTTACTATATTTCTTATTTTACCATGTTGTTGTTTACTATATGTTTATTCTACCATGTTGTTTTTAATATATTTCTTATCCTACCATGTTGTTGTTTACTATATTTCTCTTGATCTTGTGTTAACCTGCATATGACAAATAAACCACATTACACGATGTACTTTAAATTAATTTATGTGTAGTACATACATTTTTCCGCTAGAGGGGAGTCTACACCAGGTAACAAGGAAAAAGAAAAAAAATGTTTTGGATTTAAAAAATATCATATACTGATCAAACGCTTTTATTTTTGCTTTTGTGGAATTTGTGAAGCCATATTAATCAGTAAAATGTGTTATTTTTATAATATGTAATATTTAATTTCCCATCAATCTATTTTTTTCTAACGTTTGTCTCCCAGTCTGGTCAGCCAAATACAGAATCTTATTGAAACTGATATGTGCTGTAAATTAAAGGCTTAATGTTTTTAGAAAGAGCATCTTTTCACTCATTTACTATTAGATTGTTAGTATTTGCTGGTTGTTGGATGTGTCTCCTCTTTGACACAATGTTAAGAAAGAGAATATCCTGCTGGGCGTCGTGCACCTGTAAATGACACATTTCCATTTTGTCTTACCCCTTCTTGTGTATATCTTTTCAGTTTCAACGGCAGTGGCAAGACGTGAAATTACCCATAATTGCTCCTGTTTTACTGGAAGCGATAATGGCACCTTTTAAAACGTATCCTTCAAAGGCCAAAATTGCCTTGCAAAATTGCTGGAGGCTGAAAATCCACAGAAAACAAGTGTTTATTGCCGTGTGTTACCACAGACAACAAACAAAGGCAAGGTCATGTCAACAATTATCTTTAACCGCTTCTTCCTTTCCAGGTCACGGGGGTTACTGGTACCCATGTCCAGTTATCACTGTACGAGAGGCGGGGGACACCCTGGATAGGTCTCCAGTTCATCACAGGGACACATAGAGACAAACAACCATTCAGTCTCTCACTCACACCTAAGGACAATTTAGAGTTACCAATCAGTCTAACATGCATGTTTTTGATCTGTGGGAGGAAACCGAAGAAAACCCACGCATGTACGAACAGAACATACAAACTCCTAAAGGTCCCCCGGTCGGGATTTGATCTGGTGACCTTCTCACTGAGAGGCAGAAGCTCTACCAACTGAGCCTCCGTGCCGCCTCAAAACCAACACTGTTAAAATTTAAAGCAAATAAATATGTCCATCCATTTATGTATGTTCTACTTCTGATCGGGTCACAGAGGCAACTTTTCCAGGAGAGAAACCCAGACCTCCTTCTCCCCAGCAACACTTTCCAGCTCGTTCTGGGTGACTCCAAGGCGTTCCCAGGCCAGAGAAGATACACAATCCCTCCAGTTACTTCTGGATCTGCAGGGCCTCCTACCAGTGGGATGTGGCTAGAAAACCTCTAAAGGGAGATGTCCAGGAGGCATCGTAATCAGATGCCTGATCCACCTCAACTGACATTTCAATGTGAACAGCTCTACTCTGAGCTCCCTCAGGATGACGGAGATCCTCATCGTATCGCTCAAAAAAAAAAAAGCCCATTTCAGCCACTTGTATCCGGGACCTCATTCTTTTGGTTATGATCTAAACTTCATGGCTATAGGTAATGGTTGGAATGTAGACAGATCAATAAAATGAGAGCTTTGCCTTTAGACTCAACTCTTTCTTCACCTCGACTGACCAAAGCAACGCCCTCATTAGTGAGGACAAGGCCCCAATCCATCTCCCACTCCATACTATCATCACTAGATAAAAGATGCTGATATTTGAACTCTTCCACCTGAGATAATGTCTCCCCCTGACCTGGGAGTGGGGTGGGAGGGCAACAAATATATGCAGTTAAAGTTGACGCTCACAGATGTGAGCTGATGTCAAAGGCTGTATTTAAGGAACAATGTTTGTA